GTCAGTGCTTCTTTACGGTTCAGATACTTGGCGCGTTACGAAAAGCATTTCCAACAAACTGTACACATTCATCAACAGCTGCCTACCCTCAATACTGAAGATCAGGTGGCTAGAAGTAATAAGAAACAAAAAAACTCTGGCGCCGAACCAACGAACCATCTTTTTTGAATTGTTTTCAGTACGAAATGGATGAATTTCCTGAATTTGACGATGTAGTCTCCGGCACGCATACAAATTCGGTTAAAAGATTCTGGGATGGTTTGAAATATTGAATCTGAACAGTAGAAAGCCCATAAAATGAGATGGTTTATGGTCACCTAGATGAATATATAACCTCGCCTGGTTAACTAGTTTACTAGTTACTAGCCGGTCCTAAGCTCGGGTAAAGAGGGAAGGTTGGGCATAGGGCTAGCAACCCTACCCCGTAAAACAAATCTAACCGCTAAACAAACTTCAAAGCACAAACAAAATATAAAAAATGAAAACAAACTTATTCCCCGCTGGAATCGGAGAGGCGAAATGACGCCAGTTGGTGAAAGCCTTCGGGAAGCCAATTGGCCGATGTGTCTTCTCTCGATGAAAGCGAAAGTAAACGTGGGGACATGGAATGTCCGCACGATGTTTGAACCCAGTAAGGCAGCCCAGATTGCAAATGAGATGAGAAGGTATCACATCGAAGTGCTTGGGATTTGCGAAAGCAGATGGAATGGGAGTGGACTCTCCAAACTGTCAACTGGAGAATCAATAATCTACTCCGGTCACCCAGACGCCAACCACGAGCACACTGAGTGGAGTGGCTATCATGATGTCCTCAAGAGCATCGAAGGCTCTCATGCAGTGGGAACCAATCTCCTCCAGGATCATGACAGCAAGATTCAACTCAAAAGGAAGAAAGGTCACAATCATACAATGTTATGCACCTACAAATAATGCAGAGCAAGAGAAAAAGGAGGAATTCTACAGACAACTTCAATCAACACTGGACAAGACGTCAGTTGGCGATATCAAAATTCTGATGGGCGACATGAATGCCAAACTGGGAGGGGACAACACGGGAAGAGAACTAACCATGGGTCGAGAGGCACTAGGTGAAATGAATGAGAATGGAGAATTGTTTGCAGAATTCTGCGCATTCAACGATTTGGTGATTGGAGTCAGGCAGTGTGTTCAGGCACAAAGATATCCACAAAGCGACATGGATTTCACCAGATGGACACACTAAAAATCAAATCGACTTTATCTCAATCTCAAGAAAATGGAGACGCAGTCTACTTAACACAAGGTCAAGAAGAGGAGCAGATGTAGGTTCACACCACTCACCACTATCTAGTGCAAGGAACCTTCCAAATCAAGTTAAAAGCCTTCAAGGAAGCTGGTGATAGACCTCAATTCAAGTACAACACTCGGAAACTGAAGGATGAAACTACAAAGGAGATCTTCAAGGCAGCCATCAAGACAAAATGGGAGATATCGAGGAACATCCCTGAAGAAACCTGTGTGGAAGAACACTGGAAGTCTTTGAAAGCTATGTGGAAAGAAACCTGCACAACAGTATTAGGAAGGAAGAAGAAAAAGACAGGCAAGGAATGGATCTCGACGGATACCTGGAAGCTGATAGAGGAGAGAGGAGGATGGTGATGAAGCAGAAGATAAACCAGTGCAAGGATGCTCAACGACAAGAGGAAACTGAGCACAATGTATAAAACACTGAACAAAGAAGTGAAGAAGAGTGCACGCAAAGACAAAAGACACTTCTACGACACACTGGCAAGTGAAGCAGAACAGGCTGCAGGTAGGAGAGACGAGACCTGACGACATTGTATCAAATAACCAGGTTGCTATCAGGGAAGAGACCAACACAGATGAAACCAATAAAAGATGAAGAAGGAAATTTAATTACAAAAGAAGAGAAACAGAGGAAACGATGGGCCGACCACTTCAAGAAGCTCTTGAATCGACCACCACCACCACTGCACTTCGTCCAGAAATACCACCTGCAGCCGCTGAACTACAAGTGAACATTAATCCCCCAACGAAAATGGAAGTCCTGAACGCCATAAAGCTACTGAAATGCGGGAAAGCAGCAGGACCAGATGGAATACCGCCAGAAGCACTGAAAACAGATGCAGAGACAACAGCGGCCATGCTCACACCACTATTGCAGAAGGTGTGGAAGGAAGAGAAGGTACCTGACGATTGGAAGAAGGGTTACCTTGTCAAACTGCCGAAGAAGGGAGACCTCAGTGCTTGCAAGAACTGGCGCGGAATCACTCTCCTGTCCACCCCAAGTAAAATATTAAGCCGCATCATCCTGGAGAGGCTAAGGGATGCACTGGATTCAAAACTACGACCGGAACAGGCAGGCTTCAGGAAGTACAAATCATGTGCAGACCAAATTGCAACGCTTCGCATCATCATAGAACAGAGCATAGAATGGCAATCACCTCTCCACCTCAACTTCATCGACTTTGAGAAGGCCTTTGACAGCGTCGACCGAGAAGTAATTTGGAAACTGCTTCAATACTACGGAGTGCCGCAAACCTTTATCCGCCTCATTCAACAACTATATGAAGATGCCACATGCCAAGTAATCCACAATGGGAAGCTCAGTGATGCCTTTGAAGTGAAGACAGGAGTGAAACAAGGTTGCCTACTATCCCCCATGATATTCCTGATTGTGGTGGACTGGATCATGCAGCAAACAGTAGGCAGCGAGAAGAGGGGGATACACTGGCGGACTGCGGAAAAGAACCTAGAAGACTTGGATTTCGCCGATGACTTATGCCTAATGTCACATAAACTTGAAGATCTGCAGGCAAAAACTAACAAGTTGATAGAAGAGGCAGCGAAGACGGGACTTCAGGTGAATATAGAGAAGACAGAAGTGATGAAGATACCGCACCACCACCATCAACAACAACAACAACAAACTCCAATCACCGTCAACGGGAGAAACTTGAAGGAAGTAACCTCCTTCACTTATCTAGGAAGCACTGTTTCAACTACAGGCGGGACGGACGAGGACGTCAAAGTCAGAATCGGAAAAGCAAGACAGGCGTTCATTAGCCTGAAACCAGTGTGGAGATCTTCTGCACTCAGCATGCGGAACAAGATACGGATTTTCAACACCAACGTCAAGTCAGTGCTCTTGTATGGCTCAGAGACTTGGCGCGTCACGAAAGGTATTTCCAATAAACTACAGACATTCATCAACAACTGCTTACGCTCGCTGCTGAAGATCAGATGGCCAGAAAAAATAAGCAACAAGGAACTCTGGGAACGAACCAACCAAGAACCTATCACGCAACAAATATGCAGGAGGAAGTGGAGATGGATTGGCCATGCACTGAGAAGGCCGACTGAGGACATCACGCGTCAGGCCAGCTCGAGTGGAATCCCCATGGGAAGCGACGAGTTGGACGTCCAAGGGTGACATGGAGGAGGTCGTGCGAGCAGGAAATGAGAGCTTCTGGGCTGTCGTGGGACCAGGTTCAAAAGATCTCAGAGAACAGAGGTCACTGGAGGCGTGCAACTGAAGCCCTATGTTCCACTAGGAACCCAAGGGACTAATGATATAAATAATAATAGATGAATATATGCCTAGAAGTTGGTTTAAGCTTTCTATTGATACCACAATGACACATTTGGAAACGTATTTACAACGTATACGATATAACTACCCTATGTAGAAGTATTTTACGTTCTTCACTGTTATAAATACACCTGTTTTCAGCAGCCAGTAGTTTTGATTGCTTGTAACTTCTACTCTTCGTTACCATCCTCCGGGTTTAGGCTTTCTAACAGTTGACACTTATCATCTAGATGTAGCTGTCACTTTGAGGAATCAGTCACACATTTCCCTATGAGATGCATAAATTTCCTAAACTATTATTAACCACTTGATAATCATGTATGCCTTGTCATCACTAGGCCAATGGACACCGTAACACACTGAACTTTGTTTTGGTGTATGGATTTTGAAATCAATGTGTTTGTATTTGTCCGTAAGACAATAACTACTGCATAAAATCATATCCTAACAGAGACCAATTATGGCCTTAGTAACTTAATTATGAAGTTTCTCATCTCCGATATAATTGAAGCAATGAACTTGAATTTCTTTGAGTTAGTATATACTTACTATTGATGAAATTCAGATGAAATAGCGTTTTTTACCAGTTTGTATCAAAAATCTACCATAAAAAAGTGCACTGCAGTGTCATAGTGGTGTGTGAACCCTCTACAGGTGCATTAATTCTAGTTGCTACAATTAGCGACAATGTAGACGAGAGAAGTGAACAGAAACGGAATGATATTGAGGAAAACAAAGAATGACATATTTATCAGCTTACCAACTACTGTGAATACGGATGACTTTAAAGGCCACTCTAGCAATTGATGAGATAGCCAATTACACTTCTTTATTTTATGGAAAAGTACTTTCCCATGTGAGATACAGAAGCCTGATTGGTCAATTCAGTTGTTAGAGTAGCCTCTGAAGTCACTCATGAATATACTTGAATGACTCTAAGGCCATCGCAGCAACAACTGAAATAGCTAATTAGACTTCGGTATTTCGTGCAGATTTGCTTTTTAAAACAGAAATAAACCTGGTTGACTGTTTCAGTTGTTGCTAGGGTGAACCTTAGAGTCACTTATATACTTGGCCGATAAATTTTGATAGTAATTTACTTGGAGTTCTTATTGGTAACCAGTATCTAAGCATCCAGTAGCTAATTCTTTAATATCGGTTGTTTACACTTTTTTATAGGACTGACTTTAAAGACCATCTTAGACACCGCTGAAATAACCAATCAGGTTTTCAGAATTTCAGCTGGGAGGGAAGGTGTTCGTGAAATAAAGAAACGTGATTGGTTACCTCATCAGTTGTTAGGGTGATCATTAAGGTTACTCGAATTTAATCAGGTGATTAATCGTGTCAGCTATTTACCTATCAAATAAGGCTATATTCTTTGAAAAATCTTTCAGAATCCACAAAACTTCAGTGTTCAAGTCTAATGGAACTCGTTGAATTTTGTCCAATTTCACACTTCCAATTCAACAGCAAGATATACAAACAGATGAAAGCAACTCCAATGAGATCACCAATATCCGGATTAATTGCAGAAGCACTGATGCACAGACTAGAAGCCATCATCCTACCTGTCATCAAACCAAAATTCTCGATTCCCTATGTGGACGACACTTTTGTCATCAATAAAAAAGATAATATAGAAAACACTCACAGTTTGATCAACGTTTCCAGTGACATCAAATTCATAATAAAGAGGAAGTCAAAATACCAACTACCATTCCTGGATGTTCTAGTCAGTAGAATAAATGCTGGAAAACTCGACACCCAAGTGTACAGGAAGCCAACACACACTGATCAAATCCTCAACTACAACAGCAACAACCCAACAACGCACAAAATCAGTTGCTTGCAGACTCTATTCAGAAAAGTGAGAACACACTGCAACACAACAAATTCACGGAGAGACGAACAAAATTACTTGATATCCATCCTAAAGCGGAACGCTTACCCACGAAACTTTGTCAGAAGATGCCCATCCCGTACCTCATCAACTACAAAGTCATCGACAGAAATCAGTAAACGCATCATTCTACCATACATAAAGAGTATATCAGAGATCACGAGAAGATTACTGAGACCACTTGATGGGATTGGTGTGGCTCATAAATCAACAAATTCCTTTCAAACAGTAGTATGCAAATCAGAGGATACAACAACCAGAGAAGACAAACGGAATATCATTTCAAAATCAACTGCAATAACTGTAGTCGACACCACACTGGGTGAAATGGTCACCCTCTTCACCTTCGTCTACATGAACACCAATCGGTTATTCTCAACGTGACAAGATTTCATCACTCATCACTCAATGCATGTGGATAACAACTGTGGACATGAATTCAATGTGGACAATGTATAAATGTTGGCTGGAGAGAGGAAACACAAAGATTATGAGAGAATTCGTAGAAGCTTGATATTGAGGTCAGTCAGTCAGTCAATCATCAATCAATAGATGTACAGACGTAGACCCGATCTATCCACCAATGAGTGGAATGATAAACGACAGAGAGGTCAGAGGTGAAGCAGAGGGACAACCAACAAGGAAATCTATGCACTCGATGATACGACAATCAACGAAACTGTTATGGGTTCGAGGCGCTAATGGTGTATGTATATATTCCGAAACGAATGTAATACGCGCGCTTAGCTGACAGCTAACTTGGTACACAAGAGACACTGGCTGCAACCCCGGGACGAATAGAGAGAAGATCGAGGCTGGCAGATGGAAGAGTGTATCACTCCGAGAATATAACAACAACGAATCAATCCAAAACACGTGAATAAGTGTACACATGAAAAATGACCTTGTCCGCAATTGGAGAAATTCGCATAGTAAGAGTAAAAGTTAACCAATTAGCGATTTACATTACAATGAGGGCAGAAATAGACCATTAGCCATACCGTAAAAGTAATGTGGGAATGACACGTTAAAGTGTTCAGATGAATAACAATGTTTTACACAAGACTGGGGCATCACAGCAGAAACAATCAGTCACACACCACTTTGTCAGACTAAGCTACCGATTCACTTACGAAGAGATATTGATAGTTCATTTCATTTTGAAGTTTGTGCTGCTGATGGTGTTCTCTGGAAAGACAATGAAAGCTTCGGGACTAGACCATCTGGCTGAGAGAATGCAACATAACTAAAACTGATCAGATTGGTTTTTCCAGGTCATTTACGTTTGCATTTCATTGTCTTAATTTTATTGTTGTCGGCGTGGAGAGTAAACAATGAACAAACATTTAATCTGTAAATCTAATCCTTCTTACTTTCTGAAATAAATATTTATCAGGTAAATTCATAGACAACATACTCCGTTATAGATACCTAGTGAACATTGAACCACCTTCTGTATCATGGACGAAAAGAAGTTATCCTGTGTACCTAAAATTTTCTGTCTATATAGGAGTAAAATTTGGGCTCTGTAGTAGACTGTAATTCCATTTGAGTTAGTTTACTAGAAATGTCACACAGTGAAACACTACCGTCTACTGGGTAACGTTTCGGACATGATATATTGTCGATATTCACATCACATAAGACAGAGTTTTCTCTTCTTCTTTGAGACGAAGGTAGTAGAATTTCCCATATATCTGGGACAGGTGCGGAATCATTTCTATTGCATGTATTTGGTGTTGATTTGATAAATGAAGATTCGCTTATCAGTCTTCCTTGTCGGCCACTCTTTAATGTGTTTGTGTGCATTCAAGTGCAAAGTTATAACCAAGCTTTTTTCTTATTTCTTATCTTATTAGGATCTACTTATTTTAATTCAGCTAAATTTTTTGACCTATCTTATTCTAATCGACCATGGTCGACTACTTTCACCTATGTATTTGACCTCACAATCTTTGCAAGGGATTTGGTACACCAAATTATTTTGCTTAACTGCATCAGTAGGAACTTTTAACCTACAAAGCTTGTTTAGAAGCGAGTTTGTCGGTTTGAATACTACTCTAATTCAAACCAGCATTATTCAGAATTCTGTATAATGCTTCTGAGGTACCTTCTTTGTATAGTAATACAATGGAGACGTTGAATTCTCTCTCTCAACCCTGTCATCATTATTACTATTATTAACAACATCTGTATTACTACTGCTACTGCTGCTCATATCTTCTTCGAGTTCTTATGAATTTATTTATAAATTTAGGTGGATAACTACTGAGACGCAAGATATTCTTGATGTGTCTAATTTCTCATCGTAGACTTTCTATCCTACTAGTAAGCTTCCTGCCCTATTACTCAGGCATTTAACTAAGCCTACTCTGAGATGTGGTGAGATGATTTGAAGCATAAGTAGCGATTCGAATGAGAAGCTTTCCTATAGAAATAGACACTAGTCTCTAGATTTCCATCTTATTTTCATTTCATCTTGCAATCCAACATGGCTAGCTCACCTTCATCACTTTATAAGTTATAGGTGAATTGGATTTCATTCACTACTGAATTTATATGTGCGAAGATCCTATTAATGTGTTCCGATTTCAGTACTGTAAACGTGTCATCTGCATATCGAAACCATATCTTTGAAATACGACTGTCCATAAATATGTCTGTGACGACGACAGGGGATAATAGTGAACCCGTGAGAACCCCTTCAGTTTGTTTATGTATTTTATTTTGAAACTTAAAAACTGTAGATGTCAGAGACAACCATATTGTTAGCATGATTTCCTAGATCGGGACCTTCATTCGATATGTAAGTTCATTGTTATCCTTAGGTCCATTTTCAACTGCCTCAAGAGACAATGTCGACCGATATATTCGTGTAGAAGCTAGTTATGTGCAAACTAACCATTTTTTTTTAACTGTTACCGACTCGTATATCATATAATCTATGCTCTAAGTTATAAGAATTAGTAAGTTGAGAGTTTTAGTGACTTTTAATTGGACCTAATACAATCGCTAAAAATTTAGACAACTCTTAAGTCGGAGTGTTTTTTAAGACCTATTTCTAGGCCTGATGGGATAACCTGGCTTATGAATCTTAATAGTGCCATACGCTCTACTGGAATTATTGGTTTCCGGGATTAAATTAAACTATTTCGAGTCACCTAGAAACAGCTTCATTCGGAGTATTAGATCCTCTGTGGATTTCTTAATCTTAAAGTATCCACTAGTTTCTTCATTTGTTCATATGGTCCTATTTCTATGTGTTCCTTCACTTAGGAGATGTAGTCAGATCTGTCCATTACACTTGTTGATTTGCCTTTATCCGATTTGTCAATTATTTTATTGTTATCATTTTGAAGATTCCTAAGAGTTTCTTCTACTTTGGGAATGTCATCTAGTTTCAACTTATTAACCGCTACATTGAAGTTGAGGCCTTTTTGTAGCACTTTTACTTATGTTGAGCTTAAGACTTTAGTTGAAAGGTTGATAACCCATTTTGACTTATCGATCATTGGTGATGTGCTATTGTTAATTTCAATACTATTGACTGCATACTTTTCTTCTATAAATTTGTGGAACTTCTTAATCTGATTATTTTTGGACTTCGTGAGTGCAGCTGATCTTGCTTTATTCCACTTGTCCATCACTATCTGTTAATATCTTATGTCTTCAAAATGGACCGAAAGTCATTTAGGCATTGATTTCAGTAGATAATGAAATTCATCTCGGTCAGGGTATATCTAACATTGTTAAAGATAGTTTGCATCATTGTCACTAAGTACTAATTCAGACTGACTTGAAATCAATTTGGAGGTTCGTGGGGATTCATTTATTGATTTAAGGTTGATATTCATCATTTACTAATATCAGTCGGAGAAACATTGAAAACCTGGGACCGCTGGTCAGCTGTTTCGTTTTAGTAATAGGACGTCTCAGGAGTGCGAACTCATGACTCCGATAGATGTTAGTTGGATGGAAGCAATCAGCAGGAAGCCCTAGACCTAGGTTTCGTTTACTCAGCGACTTTACGACTGAGTTATATAGGCCGTGGTTGACCTCCTGTAGGCTTGCACTAGATACATTGATTGGTCACTAGAGGGTAACCAACTTCATGTTGTCTAGTCCTATATGCTGATCAAAATCTGTCGATCACTTTGCAATGTGGCCACCACCAGACTAGGCAGCTCAACATCACGATGCACTTTGATGGATGTTAGTTGGATGGAAACAATCGGCGAAGTTATAGATGTGCCTTGCTGATGAGTGCCGACAAGCACGAAACTTAAGTCCAGGGCTTCCAGCCGATTTCCTCCGTCCAACTAACATCTATCAAAGTGCATCGCGATCCTGATCTGTCTGGTCTGGTGGCCACGTTGGTAAATGATCGTTAGCATTCGATCAGGACTAGACAACATGAAGTTGGTCACCTTCCAGTGACCATTCACTGTACTCATGAATCCGCCAGAGATCGAACTCGCGACCTCCAGTTTCATTGGCCAGCACGTTACCACTGAACCCCTAGGTCGGAGTACAAACGTCCGTATAGCGCGACCTCCATCCAATACCGCCGTTAAGTAGCTGTCCTTAAGTCCGACTTGGTTGACCCCCCTTGAGATCGATAAATCTCCAGCCCCTATCAACTTCTATGCACACTTATGCTTCCAAAGTAATTATGAGAAGTTATGACCTGTGAACTCTACCATGTCACCAGCAGAAAAAATGTCTGCTGACGATGAATTGATGATTTCAGCATTATATCACAAAATAACACGCTTTAAAAAAATATGCTGATTTAATTCCTACCGGCTAACTATATACAAAACCAACTAATCTAGAGTTAAATCCCAAAGGTTGTAAAATGTGAGAATTGTTGTGTAATTCCAAATACTAAGAGGTGTAACAAGTTTTCAGTTTTCTCCTAGTTTTTAATAATTCTCCAACTGATGGTTGATACATGGTAGGGACTAATTTGAAAACATCATTTTTAGTAAACAACTCAATTTGGAATAGCCTATATTTTTTAGGTTATATATATATTATATATGGATGCATTTATATGAATATGAGGTCAACTTATTTCATTGTGAAACTTGTCCTTAAAATGACCATGTAAGGACAATTTTTCTCACCTGAATAAATAAAGGAAATAAATACTGTTTTAGAGCGATACATATCACCACCATCAGCACTGAATGTGGATAAAATAACTTCTGAACACGTCAATAATAGAGTTTCAGTGAACAGACTTGATACGGTCAGAAAAAGAGAAATCGACGTCATGTTAACGATTCCAAAGAATTCAGTGATAAAATGTTGGAGGTTAAATTTTATAGCAGTATCCATCAGAGACTGACATCAGTTGAAGAACCACTTAAAAAATGAGGACAGTTGGCAGTAATTTCGTCCTAGTAGGGGACTCCTCAGCAGTATACACCTACGATCTTTAGTTTTCACGGCGAACGTGTTAACCATTCAGCAACTGGGTTGGAATTAGATGGTTCACAGTTTCCTACTTCCGTCACTTTGCGATATAGCTTGACTATCTACTAACATCTTCAGCTGACATTCTCTTCACATCAAAATGGTTGGAGTCAGAGGTCACTGCTTCGGATTGGAATTTCGGGATATCCATCTCGATGTGTGTCATTAATTTACACAAAGTGTCAGAGAGCCTGCTAACCTGAATTATTGTTCACTCATAAAATTCCCTCTGACTTTGGTTTGATCAGGAAACATAAATTGTGTCCTAAACATTATCAAATAAATAATACCAGTTGACTTATTCAGAAATCTGATCAACAAACTAAAACAGAATTACAATTTTGACTTTCTAAGATGTCTGAGTGACACCTTTGAAGTGAAGACAGGAGTAAGACAAAGTTGTCACCTACTATCACTGGTGATCTTCCAGATTGTGGTCAACTGGACTAGGCTGGATTATGCAACAAACTGTGAGGAGTGAGAAGAGGGGCACATGCTGGCTGGACCAATGAAAAGACCCTAGAAGATCTGGATTTCGCCGCCGATGATGATTCATATCTAATGTCGCACAAACTCGAAGATCTACAGGCGAAAACTAACAAGTTGGCAGAAGAGGCGAGGCAGAGAAGACGAGACTTCCTTCAGGTGAACGTAGAGAAGACAGAGGTAGAGGTGATGAAGATACCCAAACAACGACAACAACAACAAGCACCAATCACCATAAATGAGCGAAATCTAGAGGAAGTTGTCTCTTTCACCTACCTGTGCAGCATCATTTCAACTACAGGTGGCAGCATAGATGAAGATGTCAAAGTCGGGATCGGAAAAACAGCAAGAGAGGCCCACACTATTTGTCTGAAATCAATGTGTAGATCTACTGTACTGTACCCTACTCTACTGCACTCAGCATAAAGCGTCAACAACATCCGGATTTTCAACACTAATTCAGTCAAATCAGTACTTCCGTGTGGTGGTTGAGAGACTTGACAACACGTTACGAAAAC